TTAAGTGAATAGTAAATAAAATAGAATATTGTAATATAGAGAGTTAAAAATTGAAGCAAACTAAACATAGGATATATGCATGTAAGGGTAGCATATGTCCTCTACAACTAATTTACTAAACATCATAGATTAGAAAAGGATTAGTTGTAAACAAAAGTTCCTACAATCTACTAAGTAAAGCTTTAGAATTCTAAGGAAAGGTGTGCATATTTAGGGAAAATTTTTTTCCTTCTGATGATTTTGATAGTTCAGTTTTTTGAAAAAAGAAAAGTTTTTTGAAAAGAGACTTTCTAATAAATAACTTGGAGGCACAACGTCTGAGAACAATAATAGGACATATAATAGCCTTCTGGTTGTACTCGGGGTATATTTAGACGTTCAATGGACCTTCAAGTTTTGGAAAGTTTATGTTTTTCGAACAACAATTTTAGAAAAGTTTTAATTTTAAATATATTTTAGCAAATGTCATATACCTGTAAAGGGATATTCGGTGGTAATGCTAAACATGGTATTGAAATAATGGTCTCAATCCAATGCTTTGTTTAAAAACCCAATGTTCATATTTCAAAAAATGCAGTCATATAAAGTTTTCAGTTCTGGATTATATTTAGAGATATTTCTAGTTTAAAATAAACAAAAGAAAAAAGTGTCAAAACTTAGATAGGTAAGCTCGATAAGTTGTTAGATATAATAAAATGTAGGTGTGAAGTTAATAAGGTGCGCGATATGATCATATGTCAAAGTGATAAAAAAAGTGAAAAGTCAAACTGTCAAATATATCAAATAAACAATCTAGAAATTGAAAGACAAGTTATGACAGCCAAAAAAAAAATTATTAGATAATTCATCTCTAGAAAAAAGAACAAATTTTGTTTTAAAATACTTTATTTTTAAAACAGGTTCAAAAAGAAAATCATAAATAATAAAGTTAATGAGTCGGTGAGACATAGCTTAAATGAAGAAGCTTCTAAAAAAATTTAGGATTTGACGAATCCTAAGAAGACAGCTCCAATAATATCAAACAAAAAATCTTTCAATTTTTAATATTAAAAAGATTTACATAAAAATATAGCATTAGCATCTCTTCAATTTGGCATATCTTCTGCTGCTACATTTGCTTTCCTTCAAGATTTGATCAATCTAATTACTTAATTACAAAAACAGCTGCTTTTGTATGTAATGCAAAAACATTTGAAGAGCCAGACACAAGGTTATGGTCAAAACATAAAAAAAAAAAATTGCTGAAATTCATTTCAAAGGTACATTTGTAGAAGGAAGGTGCTACTCTAATTTTGATAGAAAACTCAATTACTAAAACGTTTTGTCAAAAAATAGAAAAGCGAGAAAATGTGTATCACTCCTTAACCAGGTTTTTGACCTTTAACACTTTCACATTTTTTTAAATTTTACCTTTCACACTTTCAAAATATCCAATCAATCCAGTTTAAGAAGCTGCAGTCGGTTTTTAAAACGTGATGTTTCCAAGAGGAAGTGAAAAGCTATAACTGTGAATAAATCAGATTCAAATAACTCAATGACTGGATTTAGTAACAACGATGAATTACCAAATTACTTGGGGAAACTTCAAGTAAGGTAATAATCTATTACAAATGAGCTACCTTTAAGACACCTGATTGCAAATTTGATTTAAAAGGCCTATTGTAAAACAATTACCAAAATTAAATCAAGTTTAACGACTAAAAATGATTAAAAATGTACAACAGATTAAATTTCTGATTAAAATTCCGGATGGCAATTTAAAGATGTTAACTAACATTTTACTAAGTTACAAGTTAGTTTCTTGTCTTTAATCAGGTACAAAGAATCCTACAATTGTCAACAGAAAATACCATTATCTTTTTCATAGCAGGTGGCTCACAACCAATCTGGCAATCTTTTAGCTTTATTTTAGTGAACATTTGAAGGTAATATTTGAAAAAATCAAAAAAATCATGTATAGGACTTGCAATCCCGCACACTTATTAATTATGATGGATCAGCATATG